TCTCGCATTTGAACCGTTAGTTGGAGACGTCAAATCCTGTTACTCACCAAGAATTCCTCATCTGCTTTTTTGTTTTCTCTCTCTTTCTTTTCCATCATTTTTTTTCTTTCCTTTTCTTTTTTATTCGCAAATTCCACATCACATATATTACTATTTTCCTGCTACGACATGTTATTTCTGCTCTCATCTCTTCTACGCATACATGTATATATATTTTTTCTATTCCGCTTTCTCTCTCTCTCTCTCTCTCTCTCTCTCTCTCTCTCTCTCTCTCTCCCTCAGTCGATACTTAATGTGGCGTAAGGTAGAATGTATATGGATGGGATACAACGTGAGCGATTAAGAATAATAAACAAAGAAAGAATAGAAAAAGGTATTATAGAGGAGTAGTTAGACTGATTTAAATAGACTGACACAATATATTTTAATATATATTGAACTAAGAATGCGCGATAGTGAAGGAAACGAGGAAAGAACATGCCAAAGATCGGTGAAGAGGAAAAGAAAGTAAGAAAAATTATTGATAAGAAAGAAAGAAAGAAAGAAAGAATGGAGAAAGTTATTATAGACTGGGCGTTACACAGATGTAAATAAAGTGATTCATTTTAATTTATTGAAGATTGAATGTCCGTAAGAAGACGAGAGGAAAAAAGAAAAAGTGACAAATCGATAAAAAAAAGAAAAAAATATTAATAAGAAAGAAAGAAAGAAAGAAATGAAAAAAAAGCATAAATGAATGAATGAATGCAAAATTATATTATTGAAAAAGAAATAAAGATTACTTGAGGAAGAAAGGAAGATAAATAAAATGACTGAGAAAGAAAGAATGAAAGACTAAAGAAATATATTATAAAGGAGGGTTTAGATTTAAATAAAGTGACTCATTATAATAACGTCGATAGATAGGTTAATATATCGAGAAAAAATATCCGTAAGTGGACGGAAGAAACAGATAAAGTGAAAGATCGATTAATATGAAAAGAAAGATGAAATAACGATGAGAACGAAAGAAAGTAATTATTAATGAATGAATGAGAGAAGAATTAAATTATTGAGAAAGAAAGAAAAAAAAGAAAAAAATAGTAAGAAAGAAAGATAGGGAGACAGAAAAAGCAAACAAATAAATAAAGATTGCTTGAGGGCGAGATGACAAATAAATTAAACTACAGTGAAAGCATGAAAGGAAATAAAATGAGGAATACTTCTTGAAGGACCAGAAATCAATATATAAAGAAAGAAAGAAAGAAAGAAAGACAGAAGGAGAAATGTATTATACAGGGAGAGGGATAGACAGGTGAAAATTGACTGACTCTCTTTTAATATATCGACAAATGAATGTCCATAAGGAAACGGAAGGAAGGAAGAAAACGTGAAAGAACGAGGAAAGGAGGGAAAAAAATGAATGAAAAGACATTGATAAGATCGAAAGCGTGAATGAATGAATGCAAAAATAAATAACTGAAAAAAGAAAACGAAAGCAAAAAGATTGCTTGAGGAAGAGAGAAAGTTAAATTAAACGACCGTGAAAGAAAGAAAGAAAGAAAGAAAGAAAGAAAGAAAGAAAGATAGAAAGAAAGAATGCAAAAATAAATTATTAAGTAAGAAAGTAAGACAGGAAGAAAGAAAGAAAGTAAGAAACAAACAAACAAACAATAAATTATTGATTAAGAAAGTAAAACAGGAAAGAAGAAAATAAATAAATAAATAAATAAATAAATAAAGAAAGAAAGAAAGAATACAGTATTGAGTAAGAAAGTAAAACAGGAAGGAAGAAAAGAAAGAAAGAAAGAAAGAAAAGAAAAAAAAAAGAAAAGAAAAAATTATTGAGTAAAAAAAAAAAAAACAAAAAAAAAAGAAAAAAAAAGAAAGAAAGAAAGAAAGAATAAATTACTGAGTAAGAAAGTAAAACAGAAAGAGAGAAAAGAAGAAAGAAAGAAAGAATAAATTATTGAGTAAGAAAGTAAAACAGGAAGGAAGAAAAGAAGGAAGAAAGAAAGAAAGAAAGAAAAAGAAAGAAAGATAAAAGAAAGAAAAAAGTAAGAAGAATGAGAGAAAAAGAAAAGAAAAGAAAGAAAGAAAAAGAAAGAAAGATAAAAGAAAGAAAAAAGTAAGAAGAATGAGAGAAAAAGAAAAGAAAAGAAAGAAAGACAAAGTGCGTTTTATTTGTTTACCAAATCCGATGAGGAATTTAACCTAAGTAGAAAGAGTGTGAGGTGACAATATTTAATAGAACTGCTAAGAAAACCAGCATTCACTACTCTGACATTTGCCATTACCCGAACACAGACCTCTGATTCGGATAGAAAAAACGTCATTATCATCATAACATCCTGTCAAACAGTAGAGAGAAAGGAAACGAAATGGAACCTTCAAAAGTTTATCGTTTTACCTCTAATCGAACACTGACTTATCGGCCCCAACATATCTCCGTTACGTGGTTGATACTCGTTTTTTCTCATTCCTTATTTTATTTCCCTCAACTTGGCTCAATATTTTCGCAATTTACTCCGTCTCACATTGATAAACGCCTTATTCTATATACACTTTTCAATTTAAACTACTTTATTAATTGATTTTCCACCCGCTTTATTTGTTTTACTTTCTTCTCTTTCATCATTTTTATATCTTGTATTTATTTCCTACATTTTTTTCATTCTTATAAAATCACAGTGCTTCATTTTCCCTCATAAAAACAAATATTTTGACATTCACATGATATTTTTATCTTATAAATACATATTCATTCTGAAGATGTCTTCAAGAATCATTTATTACAAATACATCACGTTGCGACCTCATCACGTTGAAACGGATTGAAAATTATACAATCACCAAAGTTAACAATATCAACCTAATAAGTACTTAGATGGTGACTGTATTAAGAAATTTAGACAGGATGCGGGGGAAAAAATGGAATAATGGCTCAGAATTGTTAAAAGGAGAACAAAAATTTAAAAAATGTAGTGTTCCTTATATTCACTTACTTCGTAAAAATTTGGAGAAATTAAATGTATCCATCTCATCTCCTCCCACCTAATTAGTAAGTCTTGTATCACGAAACCATTATTGAAATTTATAAGTTATTTATTATAACTTAAGCAAAAAAGATAGCCTGGTCAGTATATATGAATAAAAGGAAAGCAAACAACCTTGATATAAGAGCTGGATAATGACGCGAATTTTATAATCGGTGAGCCGTGTACCAATTCCCGCTGGTTTCTTTATATTCCCTTACCCACAAATACCGTTGGTATGATACCTATGTGTTAATTAATAAGACTTGTGTTAATAAACTCTTATTAGTTCAAAAGAAATTTTGCAATTTAGAAAACATTACAACTTTAAATAACTTGCAAAGGGTTGGTAATCCGTAGAAAACAAATGAATCAATCAATTATTTGAGGACGTGGTTGATCATTGCTGTTCTATTCCGTGTAGCACTTAGCAACTTTTTTCTTTTCTTTTTTGTTAGGCCTTCCGTTTTTTCCTCCATGCATTCATATTCAGGTTGCTTTCCGGCTTCTTCCTACTGTCCTTCTTCTGTCCGTCATGTTGTGTGAGTATTAAATTCCCCAAGCTCAGCTTCTTCATTATGCGACCAAGTAATTTCAGCTGTCTCTTTTTGATTCAGAATTTATTTTATTTCCATTTTCCATAAACATATTTCGTTGTTGACGTGTTCTACCCATGGAGTTATCAGCCTCTTTCTATAGAACCACATTTCGGATGCCACCAAATTTTTTTCTTCATCTATGAGGTGTTTTTCACTATTCAATGCCAATTAAAAAAGAATGATGTTACTTAGCAGTTAGGTACTGTTTTCTTAGTTTCTAAAATTAAACTGAACGTAGTACGGTGTAGGAGCAAAGGTAGGCGATACAAATGAGAAGATCGTGTTACGCCAATCTTCTGAATAGAGAAGAAAATATAATTCAATAAAGCACAAGGCCACAGATGTTCTGTATTTAGTAAGAATAGAAAGAACAATGGTAATTATGATTTGCAAGACTTAATTGTGAATCATTGATGCTTGGTGAAGCCCTTAACTTGGTATGGCACATGGGCATAAAAACGAAGCACCCCGTGACGATAACGATCACTACAGGTGAGGTTAGTAAAAAATAACGCGACACCAAAGTGTTTCAGTGATTAAAATTTCGGTGACTAAGAAAGAAGAGGAGAGGGACTCTCAAGACCCAAATCACCTCACTGAGAAATTCCTCACACAAAGAGAGATTTTGTTTCTTCATTCAAAAATTACCTTTTACCGTTTCCTTCTTTTTTGTATTACCACCTTCATTTTGCTTCATTCCACACTTCCATACATTCTTTTACTCTGCTATCGTTTCTGTCTTTCTTCATATTTTTGTTCGTTCGTTTGTTTTTGTCTATATTTCTGAGATGAGGTATTATGTACACTATTTACATTATTCGGACTATTGTCCTCATCTTTGTCGCCATATTTATTATATTTATTTAGTAATAAATATGGCGACAACGATGAGGACAATAGTCCGAACAATGCAAATAGTGTCGCACTTTTTTCTTTTACGTTTTTCATCTCTCCTTTTTAACTTACTTGGTTATTTACATAGTTCCTTTCTTCATTCCACGAGTTCAGTTATTTCTTTCATTCATTCAGTGTACGTTTTTCCTTCCAATATTCCTTCAATAATTTTCCTTCATTCTCCCCTTCTATACGTCCTTTCGTCATTTCTACATTCTAACCCCACTCCAAATCTTCCTTTCACCTTTTATCACTCACTCATCTATATTTTCTTCCTTCAACCATTTCCTTCATTCTCCTCTTCTTTTCCTCTTCATTTCTACTTCCTCTCCCTTCTCCATATCTTTATTTCTCCTTCTAATCCTCACCCCATCCATATTTACTTCCATCATTCATTTTCATTCAAAAATATCTTTATATTTCCTTTTTTCATTTTTTAAGATCTATATATATATAAATTTTCCTTTTCTCCGTCAGTTAGATCCTAATACATATGTCCTTCCTTCAATCATCTTCAAAACCTCTCTTCTTCAGGTTTCATTTTAATTTCTCCCCGTTTCTGCATATCTTCATTTATCCGTCTGTTCCTCCCTACCCATATTTCCTTCCTTCAATAATTTTCATTCACACACTTTGTCTATCCTTTCTTTCTTCATTTTTTTACATTCTCTCCCCCTCTGCATATCTTTATTTCTCCGTTTTTCCCCCCATCTCTATTTTCATCCTTCAATCATTTTCCTTCATTTTCCCCTTCTATCCTTCCTTTCTTCATTCCTCCTTTTTTTTCTCTCCGCTCTCTATGACTTACTTTCTCCGTCTGTTCCATCTTCGATATTTCCTTCCTTGCTTCATTTTTCTTCATTCTCCTCTTCTATCCTTCTTTTCTTCGAAAATAACCCAATTCCCTTATATATTTTCCTTTTTTTCCTTCCCCCCATTCACAAAACATTTATATTATTCTTTTCTTCCATCATTTTGTCTCTTTTATTCGTTGAATTCACACCATTCTTTCTTCACTACCCATTTTCTTACTTTCTTCCACCCTGTCTCCTTTCTTTCTCTCCTTCATTTCTCTATTTTTTCGTTCCTTCCTTTCCTTCTTCCTTTCTACCTTGCTATATTCCTCCCTTCATTCTTTCCGTATCTCTGTTCCAAGATGTCCCCGGTCGATCTATTGTTTGTTTGTTTCGTCCCTACGAACATATTCTTTTGTATTTTGGTGTGTGTATGTATATATATATATATATATATATATATATATATATATATATATTAAGAAATGGACAAAGTCCGACAATTTATTTATTATTAAAGACATTTTTATGTTTAACGTTCTTTTTATAGATACAAGTATTTAAGCAAATGCTCTGTTTATAATAAACAGTATTACATAACATTTACCGGCCTGAATGTCCGAGAAATTTTCATAGAAAATATTCGTTCTTTGACAGTATTCGAACCTGCACCCTATACGGAATCGTCATTTACGCTGACGTGCCTTACCGATCGGCCACAAAGAAGCGTTCAGTAGAAGAAGTCGAATTTACTGCTTATAAACTTCAATCTTCCATGAATCTCGTACATTCATAACTGCTCTGGCGTATCAAATGTAAACAAATGACGTCATATATATATATATATATATATATATATATATATATATATATATATATATATATATATATATGTATATATATATATTTTTTTTGCTGCATTTTATTTCGTTAATCATTCATCATTTGTTGAAGAAATTTTGAAAACACACGCACAGTAGCATATTTACGCACACTTTAAATACTCACACACACATAATATAGATAAATATATATATATATATATATATATATATATATATATATATATATATATATATGGATAGTGGCTCGCTTTGAGGAATTTCAGTCAAGTTCGGCTTCCAATCAAACCCATTGCAATTAGGACAGATATTAATCCTCTTCTTCTCCCACCAGCTATGGGTAAATATCAGGACAGACTAGGTTCTATAGCCTTGGAGGGCAACTGATCTATGAGAAGAACAACTCTGAATTCAAAACCTGCGGGGGTCGTTTGGAAACCTGGTGTCATGTAGTGCACCAGGTCTCTGTATTCGGCCTTTCGAAAGGTGTGAATGGTTCAGCACAAGAAACTTACAACTATCAAATCTCTTGTTGGGCTGTCGGTTCCTCGGAACTGATCTGCTTGACCCTCATACGTCGAATACGAGACCACTATATATATATATATATATATATATATATATATATTCGTACGAATAGCACAAAGAGAGTGAGAAAACCAGCAAGCATGAATTATATATTTCAACTTTTTCTTTCATACTTTTTTAATGCCATAAACTTTCAGGACGGAGAGGATTATGTCTCCTCACAAACAGTTTTATTATCTGTGAATTAACATTACTTTTTAGGAAAGAGCGTGGTGTGATTCCTCGTTTATTCTCCCAGCTTTCCTTTAATGGTTGCCAAAAAGAAGTCGGCTGCCCAGGTCTCACTGCTACGTTGCCAACAACAGTGTGTGGGAAATAGTGACGAGTTCATGTAAATGGAACATACTAGTCTGGAATTTGAACTCGTTTACGATATTCTAACTGAAAAGTGCCGTAGAAGCATTGAAAAAATTGATTATTTCCACTATCGATGGGAGTTGGGAAGTGCAAAATTAGGTCTTGGCCTTCTCGTAACATGTGCATTTAAATTTTGCATTTAATTTTTGTCAAAATTGAAGCCGTTTTTTTTCGTTTGATGAATGCTACACATTTTTCCTTATATTTATATATATATATATATATATATATATATATATATATATATATATATTTTAATATATATATATATATATATATATATATATATATATATATATATATATATATATATATATATATATATATATATATATATATATATATATATATATATATATATATATTTATATATATATATATATATTCAATATCTGGACATTGAGAGAGTTATGGATTTTCTACTCTCAAATTACATTACACACACACACACACACACACACACACACACACATATATATATATATATATATATATATATATATATATAAATGGCAACAATTTGTGTGTTTTTTCATATTGTGTACATATATGTATATTAACCACTAATATTATCTATCTATATCTATCTATCTATCTATCTATATATATATATATATATATATATATGTGTGTGTGTGTGTGTGTGTGTAAACTTAAATTTCCAAGAGGATAGGAAAATAGAACTCAATTTTTCAGAATAAAAAGAATATAAAAGTCTCAAACACTAATATCCCATGGTTAGTTAATATTACTGTTTGAGCCTTTTATATCTTATATATATATATATGTATGTATGGAAGTATATGTGTGTGTGCGTGTTTGTGTGTGTGCGTGTGTCTATTAATTTACGCTATTTTAGGTGATATCCACATTTGACGATCATATGTAATTTCCCTTTAGACAGTGATTTTTAAATCAGTTTTTTTATTATTAACAAATAGAAATAACATTTCAGTTTGAAATAATAAATATATGACGGATAAAAAATAAAACACAATAATCTTTCATATATATATATATATATATATATATATATATATATATATATATATATATATATATATATATATATATGTAGTCTGTGTGCATATGTGTTTGCGTGTCTTTGTGTTTGTTCAGCTCTTGTTCTTTTTTATACATGTTTTATTGAAAGGCTTAGATGTTTAGTGTGAATGATCATTTGCAAACTATGCAAACTCAACTGGGCTTTGTAGATCAGTCACAGCATTGATATTCTTTTTGGAAATTTTTTACATCTGCAGCGGCCAGCTTTTCGAAAATCATATGGCTAAATTTAATAGACATTACTTTCGTAATTCCCGTTCTTTCGTAGTAATTCAGGTGCCCCCAGGGCTCCATCCTTGATCCTACTGTTTTTATTTTATATTTTTATTAATAAACTACCCAATAGCATCACTCCTCAACTCGGTATCTACATTGATGAAACAACTATTTACTACTGTCTTGACTTTATGTCTGATCGCATAGATAAGGCCACAATGGTATCTGATATCCTAAACTAGAATCAGTCTGTTGTTAACTGGGACAATTAAGGGCTTGGTAACTTTAACGCCACCAAGACTAAATTGCGAATGATAATCAACTGAGAGACCCCTTTCTGCCTTCCGTCTGTATGGCTGATGCTGTACCCTATGAGTGTGACTCGTTGCATCTTCTTGGACTTACGTTCTCGGCTGACATGAAGTGGAAATACTATATTGAAACAGTTCCTAGGAGATCAGGCTAAAAAGTTGGTTCAATGTGTCGTGCAAAACAAAGTTTCTCTCCATATCTAAATGTCTACCATTCGTGCATGCTTAAAATATTGCTGCCACTTATGGTCCGGTGCCCTTGTTATTTACCACGGGCTCTTTGATAAAATCAAAAGAAGAATTTGAAAAATATAATAACTGAATTGAACATGGTGGCTCGGCTTCAGTCACTTTTCACCGTCGCTAGGGTACGTCTTTTTGTATTTTCTATAAATACTTTCATAGTAACTGTACAGATGATCTCTTCTCTATGGCACCTAGAATTTTTTAAAATTTAATCGCAGTACTAGACTGGCAATATGGTCTCACCAATTTACAGTTGAGATGGCTAGATTTAACCCGTAAATTCTTTGCTGTTTTTTTTCTTTCTCTCAGATTTCTTGCTTGTAGAAATCTCTTCCAGTTCTATGCTTCCTAGCCAACTATAATCTGCAGAATTTTTTAATGCAATGTCACTCACCATCTTCTGTCTTCCTGGTTACACTTATTTTGTTCTTGCTTCTAAGCAATGTTTCTGTTTACTTTCACATACAGTAATTCCTTGTGCATCATTGATTTTAGTTTCTTACTTGGGGTTAGCTATATTACACACACACATACACACGCACGCACAGACATATTTGTGTGTGTGTGCGTGTGTGTGCACGTTACATTAAACATAACGAAAGTCCCTTATCGATAATTTATTTACTTCTTCAATATCTCTCTCTCAAGTTTCTTCAATTTTCTATCTATCTATCTATCTATCTAAATATCTATATATATATATATATATATATATATATATATATATATAAAAATTCGCTTGAAGATGAAATGGAACTAATGCTTTTAATTTAATTGCAAAATTAAATTCAGGGTTTTAGCTTCTATTTTTGAAACATGGTTGGAATACATTGTAGCATAAAAAAAAACCATATTTTAAATCAATTAATTTATAATATTAATGCTCTGTATTTATATTATTGATATATTTTGAAAAAATAAAATATCTATAAGAACACCGGATTTTATATCTTACTGTTCTTTTCTTTTTATTTATATACATATATATATATATATATATATATATATATATTTCAAATGCATTTTACAAACATGGGCGTTGCACTTGTTGTGGGTCTGACGATGAAATATTTC